ACTGGTTGAGTATGTATTATCCGTAAGGCACAGAGTGGTAACCTAAGGTGAACAAAGGACATTCTGTGATTTCTAAGACTTTATAATTTGTAACATAAAATTTAGAAATTAAATAAATCACTAAAACACAATGCATGTTAGAATGGGACAAATATTTAAAAACTGGTTAAATGCTCTCAGTGGGTCCTCCCTGGAGGAGCAGTGATCTCATGCAGCTGGAGAAATCACAGAATGTTTCTAGGGGAAGCTAGCATCATGGTCACCCATAAAGGTGGGCGACCCCCTCCAACTAAGCCTTCTCTTAATGTTTACTAGTTTGCTTCACAATAGAAGGAAAATGAGTCCAGAGATAAGAACAGAGAAGGCAGGATGATTGACGCAGGAGGGATGGACTTTCCCTAACAGCTGCTTTAGCTGCCGGTAACCTCAAAGCCTGTGTGTCAAATAGGCAGGGGAGGACGATTTCCACCCCTCATCACAACTGAGAAATGGAGGCTTAAATCAACCACACTTGACTCAGTTCAGCTTTGTGTGTGTGTGGGTAGAGTTTGTAAAAGCAGAAAAAGCAAGTTGTCTAGTTGTTTAACTTTAGTTCAAGTTGATTTTTATTGTTTTTCAACTTGGGAATGACTTAAAAATTGCCTTTCTCAGCTTAAAACTCAGAGTCAGGCTTTTAGTTTGGTTTCCTTTACAAATAGCCTAAATATCTTTTTTTTTTTTTTTTTTTTTTTTTTTTTTTTTTTATTTAGGGAAAAATGTAAAACAGAAAAAAGGATAGAAATAATACAGAATTTCAAAAAAATAACAGTAAGAAATCACTAGTTGATAAATTACATATTATTATCTTAGAAATGGTTGTTCATGTTACATAATCTAAGCATAAAATATGGGCAATCAAACAATGACAATACAAACCATTCTGTTTGATGAACTGACAAAAATTTAGAAGTGTGATTATCTGTCTTGCACACTTGAACATACATACAGTTACATGTGTACACCAACAAGCTGTTCTTTCCTTTGGAGCACTTTCTTTCCCTTTCATTATTATAATATCTATTATACATTTTGGATCTTATTACTTTTTCAGTTTATTACTATTATTTTTTATGCTAGAGATACAATATGATATTTACAAATGTGAGACTGACATTTCATTTAAGATAGTCTCAAGTTGCCTCCATTTACCTATAAACACCTCAAGATCATCCTTTTTGCCAAGTAATATTCCATTGTATAAAAATGCCACATCTTTTTCACCCATTCTGTGGTTGATGTGCATTTTGGTTGTCTCCAAGATTATAGCTAATGTGCTGCTATAAACATGGGTACACATATATCACTGTGGTATGCTTTCAATTTTTCTTGGAAAATACCCAAAGGGAACTAGCTGTATTAAATGGAACTTTATATCCTAGTTTCTTGAGGAATCTCCATATTGATTTCTACTGCAGTTACTTTTTTTTTTTTTTTAATTTACCAGGAATCAAACTCACAACCTTATGCTTATCAGGCAGGTACTTATACCACTGAGCTATATACCCAATCCCAATAGCCTGAATTTCCTAACTGCCCATATAAATACACAGAAAATGATACCAACTATACAATGATGTATAGAGACAATCCCTTCATTACGATTATCAGACTTTGCTTTGACAAAAATACCAAAAGGGAGTCCATATCAACAAAATGCTCAGGGTGGCAAGTTGTAAAATACAGTAAATGAACTCACAACTCTGATTAAGTTTTGTTTTCCAACTGGGTATTAAACACAGGGTCTTTTCACTGAGCTATATTCTCAGCCTATTAAAATACTTTTAAAATATTTGCTAATTTTTTGAGCGAGAGTGTTCCTAAGGCATTCAGTCAGTTGCCTCGGTTGGTCTTAAACCTGCCATCCTCTGCCTCAGCTTCCCAGAGTGCTGAAATTACAGGATGTGTCCCACTATGCCAAGCTCATTACGATGCTTACTAAAAGATGAGTCTGTACTTGATAACTCTGAATTCAAACTCTCCTCAACTTCACAGACAATCGAGGATAAAATAAAAAATGTTAAAGGTAAACAAAATTAAAATCCTATTAGTGGTATGCAATGTTAAATCCACCAAATAAACATATTTCCCATGGAATCAAGCACTCAAATCAGCTTCTAACACATTAAGCATGTCTTTTCAATAGCTGTAGTCTTTCGAATTGACTGGGAACTTACCTCAGTGTTTTTTGGGGAGTAAGAAAGTACATTAACACTGTCCAGAGGAACCTGAACAAACTTAGAGGGAAAAAGAAGAAACCACATACTTCTCCATTCTCAGGAAAGGGAAGTCAGGGTGACATCACCCTCTGCTCAAATCTAACATGTTTATATCTTGAATTCTTAAGTACCAGAATGCTTTCTGAAGAGTTTGAAGTAACAATGACAGATGAATATATTTTTGTCTGAATATTTATTTTCTTACCTGTTCACTTAGTCAACAAATATTTATTAAGCACAGAGTGGAGGGAATGATATAGTGTCTGCTGCAAAGAAATTTGGAGTTGGATGGGGGATACGAAGAGAAATTAAAGAGTGATCCAAATAATTATAAAATTGTGCTTGCATTAAGTGCTGAAAAATCATCTACGGGGCCATGGGAATCATAATGAAAGATGGATCTCGTCAGCGAGGTCAGGGAAGGCTTGCCCATCCGGAGGATATGACACAATCAAGGAAGCCCTGGAGCTGGTTGAGTGAAGAGGAAGGAAAAGACAGAGAAAGGGAAGGCAGGGCGCAGGAGGGGCAGAGATATGCTCCAGGAAGGAGGTGGAGCCACATGAGAGTTTACAGGAATGGTGGGACTTGAAGGCAGAGTAAAGGACTTCTTCCTCTTTCTTTCTCTCTTTTTTCTTTCTTTCTTTCTTTCTTTCTTTCTTTCTTTCTTTCTTTCTTTCTTTCTTTCTTTCTTTCTTTCTTTCTTTCTTTCTTCCTTTCCTTCCTTCCTTCTTTTTTTCACAGCACTGGGGATCTAACTGAAGTCCTACACATGGAACTAACCCTTTTTGTATTTTTTCTTGACTGGGCCTCACTAAGGTGCCCAATATGGGAGTTAATTTAAAATAATTTTGCCTTTCTCTCCTTTAGTGCTGGGATTACAGATGTGTCCACTAGGTCCAGAGCAACAATTTGATTGCTATCTCTTCTTCATCACATAAGCAGTGGGATGCCTTCAAATAATTTTAATCAGAGACTTGGAATGGACAGATCTGCATTCTAACTTAGTTCAATTCTTGTTTGAGAAGCTGGATGAAAGGATTCAGGAAGGCCCTGAGGGTGATTGGTTGGGAGCCTTCACCTATGTAATCTCAACATTCAGGAGACTGAGGCAGGAGGACTGCTGGCAGTTTGAGGCCAATTTGGGTTACATGGCTACATAGTGAGTTCAAGGCCAGCCTGAATTACATAGCTAGACCTCATCTTAAAGAAAATAAATAAATAAATAAATTTTAAAAGGAAGAAAGAAAGAAAAGAAAAAGAAGAGATATATGGTTGTAGCATAGGTGGGTAACCTTTCTTCCTCACTGAAGTGGCTCCAGTTTTGGCTAGATTGTTGGTGGTCAGGGACACATCCTGTCCTGATTCTTGGACACTTGCTGCCTCCCAAGAGTGATGGCAAGAGGTGGCATTTTTCTGCATGATACATCATGGACAGATTTTGGTATTTGTTGGATCAAGAGTTTAAAGTTTCAGGATCAAACAAACTCTTAGATTGACTGGGAAGCTTTTGGGAACTGGCTTTGAGGGAGGCCAGTCCGCCTGCATTCCCAGTGAAATGGCACCTGCTCCTGAAATGATCTTTCCCTCAAGTAAAGAAGTTCACTGCAGAACAACTGCAAGATCTGCCCAAAGGCTATCTAGAAACTATAGGAGCTGGACCTGGAAGTAGGTTGGTTATGGGATTCATTATCCAATCAGGACCCATCTAAAAGAAAAAAGAAGTTCCATTAATATTTAAACTATAAAATGTTATAAAGCGGATTGCCTTAAGCAAACCTAGCTGTCCCAGCAGGAAAGGAAATTTGAATGATTGTACCAGGCTGTTTGTATCACTTTCAAAGTTCTAAAAGGTTCGCCGCAACTAATTTTTACTCTTTCCACTGTTACCTCTTTTATTTTAAAGGCGGAGTGTTCTTTATCTTCTCTTACATTCTTGAACTGCAAATGCAGGCGGTTAGCTAACTCCAGCTACACTGGATGCACTGAACACAGCAATCTCCATGAAGATCACTCCGTGAGGGCTGATTATTTGCACTTATCCACAGAACCAGTAAAAGGCAAGTCAAAATTCTGGAGGCCTGCCATTCCTGCCGAACTGGAATCTGCATTTTAGCAAGAATCCCACCTGATCAAATGTACAGGAAAGTTGCAGGAAAACCTCTGGGCTTTGACCTACATACTAAGAAAAACATTTTGCAATGTTCCCGTGTATGCATATGCAGGTAACGGAAACTAAAGTTCAGTGAAGCAATACATACCTTCACGGCATTAAAAAAAGAAAATGTGCTTACGACTTACTAACTAGATTTCAGGGTCTACTCCTGGATCTCAGTTTATAGTTTGAAAACGCTATCCTAAAAGCATTTGAGAACAGCCCAAAGAAGGCTGGGGGGAGTGGAGCAGATTGGCCCTGGGGTGATATGGAAAGTGTAGAAAGTTTCTAGGCTCAGTTACTTTGTGAAATGCGTGCACTTAGTCACTCCTGACTAAATACTTGGAGCTCGGAGCTCGGGAGTGGTGTAGGAGGGCGGTGAGGGGCAGCTGAAAGCTGCCCAAAACTCTCCGAAGGGTTGGTCTAGGGGACGTGATTGGCAGCTCGAGAGGGGGAGGACTGGAAGCCGAAGGAGGGCGAAGGCTCGGGGCGGCTGGAGGTCCTGCCCAGCTGTTGGCGAGGAGTTTCCTGCCCCCCCCCCCCAGCACCCGGGTAAAGTCGAGTGAGTCACTCGCGCGCCCCGGCCGGCGGACGACACTCCCGCGCGCACACGCCGGGGGCAGGAGCGGCGTCCTGCGCAGCTCCGCTCGGCCGCTGGGGGCCTCCGCCGGCCTCGCGGTCCCCTCCAGACCGGCCCGCGCCGGCGCGCGTCACATCTGGCCGCACATCTGCCCGCCCTCCCGGCGCGGGGTCCCGAGCGGGCGGGCGCGGCGCGGCGCGGAGGCGCAGCCAGGCTCCGGGAGGCGCCGCGGCGCTCGGCTGGTCTATGAGGAGCCCCGGGATCTGCCATGGGTCGGCGGCTGCTCAGGGGCCTGTGGCCGCTGCACATCGTCCTGTGGACGCGCATCGCCAGCACGATCCCACCGCAAGTTCAGAAGTCGGGTGAGTGGCCCCAGCCCGCGCCGGCAGGCGCCGGGGTGTCCCGGGCTCCCCAGCCCTTCGCCGCGCTTGACAGTCGGCCCCCGGGACCGGCGCTCGGGCGGAAGCGGGAAAGTTCCCCTCGGGCACCCCGCAGCCGACTCCCGGGGCCGCGGGGCTGTGTGCGTTTTTCCTGAAAAACAGAAGGAAAGTTCAGCTGCAGAGGGGCGCGGGGCTCCCTTTGTGCGAGCAGGAAAGGCGGTGTGGTGGCCGAGATCGGGGCGAGCCCTCACCCCCGGAAAGGGAAGTTTGAGAAGCTGGCTATCCGAAGCAGGCCGGGGAGCAGCAGCCCCGGGCGGCAGCCACCCGGGCAGCCCAAGAGCCCTTCACCTGGGCCACTGCGGCCCGCGGCGACGGTGCGTGCCCAGCGGGCTCCTGCCCAGGCGCCCCTTCCAGTGGCCAGCAGCCCAGTCCTTAGCTCCTGGAAATGGCCTCGCCTTCCCTGGGCCGGCTTCTTAGCCCAGAGTTACTGCACACAACTTTCAAGACTCGATTACAGAAGGAAAGTTGTCTGAGTTGGCCTATGGGATGGGAAGGGAGCCGAGAAGTCATTGGTCAGGTTGGAGACCAAGGCTTGTTTATCCAGCGTCAGGTAGGTACTAGGCCCTGGAGATGCTGCCAGCTGCAACACAGTCCTGCCTGCATGGAGCTGATGCCTGCCACCAACTACCCTCTGATGAGAACCGAATGATTAGCCGTATACATCATCTGCTCCCGATCCCTGTCTCAGATTTTAATGATGGAAGAAGTAGGAACTGGATTCTTAACAACTTTCGGGAAGTACGGCACCCTTGAGACTTCACAAGTTAGAAATTTTGCAGCTGTGAGCCACATAACTGAATAACTGCAGCTATGATGTGGGACTGAGTATTTGAGAAAGTCCTGAAGCTTTTCTGGGCCTAAGTTTCCTCATCTGTGAAATAGGTGTCCGAACTGGACAGTGTGACATCTCCAAAACCATCGCACCTCCCCCCAGACCCACTTGTTGGGTGGTGGGGGATTTGGCTGTGCCCCGTGTAGATTTATGGGGGCTAAGTGGTAAATTTCAGATTATTGGAAGGAGAATGAAAACTTTTTAAAACCCTGCATTACATTGAAAGTGGGGTGGGGATGGGATTTTGAATGGAATGAGAGAGAAGCACTATTGCAAGCAAAAAATCCTCACGCAAACTTGAGTTCTCCAGGCTAATAAAAATCTGTTTTCTTCCTGTTTTCTTACATTACGGTACTAGAATGCTCAACTGTCTCTAGTTTTACTCCAGACTCTTAAAAACTGATTTGAATTTTGTTAATAAATGTTAACGTGACACCCTTAATTTTCTTAACTTTGGCTTCAGATCATTAAAGAAATTAGCAGGCCTTGATTTGGCTAAGTTTTGTTTACAAGGATAAAATTTGTGATTTGTAAACTCCAGACTCAATAGTTCAAAGAGCCAGTTTCATTTCACCTATATATACACTTTTAAACAATTAGATGAAAAGCCTAGTGGTTTTTATTTGGGCTTTAGAAAACTAATAGGTTTCATATTTTTATAGGGAATTGAAGTTTTAAAATGATCAAACCGAGGATTAGTTTGAATTCATATTTACTTGGTTGAAATTAAGTTTTCAAAGATGTTAAAGGTAAAATAACCAATGAAGTTGGAAATCCCAATTCCACTATATTTTAATTTTCTGTGTAGTTTAAGCTTTTCCTAGCATAATTAGTAAGCTGTGAAAATATTTTTTCAGAATACCTCAATGTGAGATAATATATGAGGAAATGAGATTGTTTACAGCTTCTTATTTGGTTATTAAAAAGAACCTTCAGGTTGGTAGTTTTACAAGAAATATTTCAATTTAAGAATGGTTTTCAATAAGAAATATATTTTAAACTTTTTTTTGTTTTTTATTTGGTATAGTCATTTTTTCTAAATTCTCAAAGACAAGAAATGGCTCTGTGAAAAGCTTTGTCTGAATATTTCAGATGTGAAAAATATGACTTTTACTCTTTAGTTACTTAAGAAGAGATTCTTGTTGATAATAGTATCTGAAGGATTAAACCTTTCCTAAAGTCACTTTAATAGCATGCTTACTTCGTCAGAGTCAAGTACTAGAAATCATTAGACACGATCTGTTTTCTCCCTCCCCATCCCCTAAAGCACATTTTCACCGCTAGGCCACTTCCTTTAATATCTTATTTTTGACAAGTTATGGTTTATACAAAATACTAACCACAGTTTGAATTCATTACCTTCTCTTTTGACTTAACCTGATGGTGATGACTCATTGTTATGTATTTGTTGAATACATTAACATTATTTATTGATATAGTCAACAAAGTTGCTGCATGTGTGCCATTTCAGTTTACCATTTACCAACATGAGATATATATATATCTATATAAATATATAGATATGTGTATCTCCATTTTTTAACTCCATTTAGTTTTTAACTCTACTTTTCTAATCAGTAATGGCACCTGTTGATGTCTTTGTAAAAAAGTGGCCATTTCGTACTCTTTCTCAACGGTATTTGAGTACCTTCTTCTACAGGCAGGATTCCTAAACCTGGAGATAACGGTCCTCAGCGAATGAGACAGACCTGGTCTTGCCCCATTGAGTTGCCACATGGAAGTGCATTATAAGGAAGGGGAAAAGATACATATTTTATCTGTGTACTTGGAGAAATTCTTGAATACTGTCATTTTGTTTGGAGACCTTAGGATGTAATTTTTGTGCTGCTTTGATTTACTTTCCTGTCTCTGCCTAGTTGTAGACCAACAATTGGGTCACCTTTATTCTGAGTCATCATGACCCAGCTAGTCTTTTCTTTGGGGATTAGTTGAAAGTAGTGTAGGGGACACGCTCTGAAATGAGGCCATCATGGGTTCCAGACCCGCCTGCCATTGCTGGCTATGCAGCTTGTGGCCAGGACTCTACTTTCTGTTCCTCACTGCTCACATCTATAAAGGAGGGATTATGGGGTCATGACGAAGGTTAAACACGCTCTCAGATGTTTATCAGAGTGTGTGCATTCTAGTAAGTTCTTAATAATTATCAGCTTCCATTATTAAGAACTTCTTATTCAGGCTTCACAAGGGCTGCAAGGACCTGGTTCTCACCTCATCCTCATCTCTAAACCCCGAGGCCTACTCCTCCTCAGTCCACTCACAGGACCATGTGTAAGCCCACTGAGCAGTTGAGACAGCTGTGTCTTTGTTCAAGGTGTGCACTTCTGCCTTGAACTACTGTTACTGGACTCATTCTCTGCCATCTTTTAAGATTTCACTTATGTTTTCCTTTAAAGAAAACTGCTTTGAATGCCCAAAGTTGAGCTAAGTGTTCCCTCCCGTGTACAGTCCTCTCCATTAGCTTAGGACAATAGCAAGATGAAATTATATGTTTACTAGACTCCCTTTCCCCTTAGACTCTGCAGCCTCTGCAAGGCCAAGAAGGGTCTGACTCAGTACTCCTGTCTCCAGCATCTTCCCATGCTGGGGCCTGGTGTGGCCGCTAGGAAACATGCAGCTGAGCCTCTGTTGCTAGATATAGTGCAGTGTAGTTGGAACTTTTAACAGCCAGGCAGTCATTGTTTATTGGGCGGTTGGCATAAGTGGCAAAATCTTTGTTTTTAGTTAGGTTAGTTTTAGCTCTGATCAATTTGCACAATTAAGCTGTTTTTATACTAATATAATTTTATACTGTATACTCCTAGTGTTCAGATAAAACAACAGAAAAAGGTATTTGAACTTCTGACACAGTGAAAACTTGCTAGGAGTTTATATCTAATTCCTTTAACTCTGAATTTTAAGCTGGTCAAAGCCATTATAAAACTTTTACAATACTTTCATCAACAAAATTCAGGAAATACTAACTTTTCTTGTTTTCTAGAGGATTGTCAAAAGGAGACTGTCATTAAAAAATTAGATTCTGAACCTAAATCATGTTTTTTTGTTTTTAAAGCAGGTTTTGCATTTTGGTTTATATGCACTGAAGCAGAGTTGGTCTAAAGGAAGTGTGGTCTAGTAGCAGCCTCTATCTGCTGTAGAGCGGCTTGTCTATTATTTAGGTCTGATGCAAACCACCAAAACATTTTAAAATAAAGTGCAAGAAAACATACTTCCTGGGTACAACCCAGCGATACTTAGTCAAGTTGAAAAGCACGGCTCTACCATCTTGTTAGCTTCTGCCCTGCAGGTCCTTGTGTACAGTTTCAGCAGATTTAAATAATGATTTTCAGCAGAAATGCCTTAGCAGGCATGTGTTAGCAGCAAAATCGCTTACCTCTTACTTTACACTCTCTCTTTCCTTGTAATATTTTGCTCACCAGGTACTTGTTGCCTCTGACTGAAGCCAGAAGATAATGATGATTATGCTTCTTTGGTGCGTCAGAAGGGTTGGGAGTGCTGCTCAGGCGAGAGGGCTCATCTTAAGGAGAAGTTGGAGGAATGCAGAACTAACATTTGAGAACTTAGCTTGAGCCAGCCATTTTATATCACTTATTTAATGTAATCTTATGACAAAACCTAAAAGATAAGTTTTATTGTCTTTATTTCATAAATGGCGAGGCAGAGTCCATTTAAGAACCCCTGGAGCTGTGTGTATGTTTTCTAAGCTTGTCCTACCTGAAGTCTGCTTGATCTTTTTCATTCCCTGTGTGCCTGTGTGTGTGTGTGTTTGTGCACACTTATGTGTGCTGGGGGCAAAACTAGGGAGGGGTAAAGAAATACCATCTAATACCATCAGTTCAGCACACTCCACTAATGGCTGTGCTCTGTTTGCGTGATCTGTCTCTTCCTTACTGTCCTTATACCACAGCAAACCTCGACTTGCTGAGCCAAGAAGTTTGTAGTCTGCTGAAGGCATCTGGGTGGTAGGAGCCACTGTGCGTGACCTCAGCTTTGACAGTTTATAGCAGCTGGACAGGCATCCTTTTCAAAGATACGTGCTGTAGACCTCAAGCATGTGGACCATCAGTTGTGC